GCACTCGGAGGCTCCAGTTAGTCCAGAATGCAGCCGCGCGGGCGGTGATGGGAGTGACTCGTCGCTCCCATGTAACGCCGCTGCTGCGCGAGCTGCACTGGCTGCCGGTGGCTTTCCGGGTGCGCTTCAAGGTGTTGATTATCATCTTTAAAGCGCGCCATGGCATCGGACCTGGTTATCTCCGAGACCGCCTTCTGCCGCAGATTACCTCCCATCGGCCGGTACGCTCCCACAGAGAGGGTCTCCTCAGGGTGCCGTCAGCCAGACAGTGTCGGCTGGCGACCCCCAGGGGGAGGGCCTTCTCTGTTGGAGCCCCCACCCTATGGAACGAACTACCCCCAGAGATCCGGGTGATTCCGGATCTCCCCTCCTTCCGCCGCGCCCTCAAGACATGGCTATTTAAGTTAGCAGGACTGGCCTAAGGGGTATTTTAATTTGGTTTTAAAATAATTTTAAAAAGAAAAGGCCAATAATTAATATTTCATTTTAATTACATTTTAAATTTAGTATTATTGTATTAGTTATCTGTTTTAACTGGCTGTAAGCCACCCTGAGTCCGCTAGGAGAAGGGCGGGGTAGAAATTTGATTATAAATAAATAAAATAAATAAATAAATAAAATGTTTTTAATGCTGTAAGCCACCTAGAATCGCTTCAAAACAAGATGGTTGGCAGATAAATTTAATAAACAAATTAATAGTAAAATAAATAAATAAGACAACTACGTCAGGTAAGCAAGTCAGTCTGAATGCCAGTGCTCTTAGCCATTGACCCGGGATAGGCTCTTACCTGTCTGAACAGGCCCTCTGCCCACTTTCAATCAGGCGATTCTTAGTAAAGTTGAATAGCAGAGACCTTAGGACAGAGCTGAACCGGGACTCCACTTGTTACTCGTTTCCCTTGTGGAGATAATTATGATCCCCTGGAATATCTTCTTTTCATGAGAATATATTCTGGGTGCTTTGCTGATGTCAGGGTATATTATGTCCACGGCATACCCTCAATCTATTAAGCCAGCCGCTGTATAGATATGGCAGTCCGGTTAGTCAGGCATGACTTGTGTATGCCAAACCCAGACTGGCCCTTGATCTTTGTTGTCCAGGGATCACCAGTATGCCGTTTAATCATCTGCTGAAGGATTTGACCTTCAAGCTGACACATGTTTCCTGGTCCT